ACAGATTTTTTTTGTATGCATTATAAATAGAAGACTTTCTGCTTTTCCCAGAAAGACTAACAAATATTGAAAGTTTGCAGCTGTATTCTTCAGAAGTTTTAAAATTTGATATTATTGATGGCTTTATTTTCCAAATCAAGATTATTGGATCCCAAGAAAGTTCAGTGTTCAGTATTAGGAAATTCACATTTATCCTCTCAAATGGCAGTAGTTTATTCTGCTGCTGATTTCTGCACAGCCATGTTTATGATAGACAACCCTCCTGACCAATAGGGGAGCTGCAGCAAAGACTTCATCTCACTTGTAGAAGAACTCGGAATAGGATTTGGTTCAGTAGAGCAAATGGAGGCATCAGAATAGCACCTCAAGTTTCTTGTAGCTTTGGTAATAAATTCTGAGTCACTGAAGCTAGACCTCTGTCTTCTTTGAATAAGCACTATTAACAGATGGTGCAAAAGTCCTTTTCTGAAGACAGCACCGCTTTCAAGAGGAATAAACTAATCAGTAGGTCAGATATTTTGCTAATGGAAGGCAACCTGATACTACTTTCTGGGCCTATGGACATGACCAGTCACGTCTTCAATAACTGGATGTTTTTCAGGACACAGTGGGAGAATTACAAAATTCCAACAGGTCAGTTGGCAGACAAAAAAAAAGTCTGCAGCACTATTTTCTGTGAATGGGGGTGTCCATTCGCTCCAACAGCATTTAAGATACATCATCAGCAGACAGGAAATATTCCCCCAAGTCACTGGAAGCACTGCAAAAGCATTTGGAACTGACCATAAGTGAACACGATAACTTCAGTTAAACATGAATAAGAAATTTGTGAATTCACAAATCATTTTGTTGCCAGGCAGTGGATAATGGTAGATTCATGCACACGGGGCAGTTTGAAAGAAAAATAATAAGCAAAGACATGGGCATTACATGCAAAGGAACACCCAGAAAGTGCATTCACTCTGCAAGTAGCCATAGTCAGTGAACAAGCTCCAGCACCAAGTAATCTATCCATCAAAAGTTAAAACCATGCATTATATTAACAAATAAATGAATACAATAGTCAACAACCCCATCCCCTCAAAACAGTGGTGAACTCATTGTCTAAGATGCCATCATAATTAAGGGACAATGAATACTCATATGGAAAGCCATGAGAATAGAGACCGTATCAAGAATACATCCACACACAGCTACTGTGGGAGAAAACAGTGTTTTGGAAAAGCTACAAATGTGGCACACTGACCAAACAATCAGTGTGAAATACAAGACACTGTGATGCTTATGCAAAGTCCACTCAAGTTATTAGAAGGAACCACTGATGATATACAACATTCCTAACATAACCTGGAGAAAGGTGGGTATGGCTCTCGTTATGGATAAAAACACTGTCTTGCATTATGGTGGATTATTCAGATTTCTGGCAAATAGGTACATTGCCAGATAATGCAGTAGCAACTACAAATCACAGTTCACCAGTATAGAGTTTGCCCAGTTTGCAAAAGATTGGGAGTTTCAACACATAATGCCCTCCTCCTCCAGCTGTCAGTCCAAACGCAAAGCTCAAATCTGCTGTCTTGACTGAGAAATGACTCTTCAAGAAAGCAGCAGAAAACCTTTGGCAAGCTATGCTGAAATGGAGAAGTAATTGCCACTGCATGGATTACTAACAGCTCTTGAATTATTAGAACCTAACGTTGCTTAAAAATTCATGGGTCAATTGACACTCCGACTCAATAAAGCTAAAGTCTATTATGACAGAGCTATTGCAGCTGCACGTTGTAAGGTTAGTACATTGAGGAATGACTCAAGAGTTGATCAGCACTATATCACCATCACTTATATGGGCAAAATTCTGATTGCTCAACAGTTTTATGTTGAGAAAATACACTGTTGTTCTTTGTTATACTTTCTTCAATCAATGAGACTATAAACATTGGGGATACTATGATAGCCCTCCTGTCTAATGGAGTGCTACAATGACGGCTCTTATCTCATGTGTACAAGGAACTGGAAATGCAGTTTTAGGCTGTAGCTCAAGAGAGATAGGAGTCTTTTTTTTTGTATCGTATACCTTTATTGGCATATCGGCAATCACAACTAAGTAATAATCCAATCAATAAAATACAGACTACAAAATCCATCAAATATCAAACTTCATAAAAGAATTTCATAATGGGGGGGGGGAACCAGAAACAACACTATATAGAATTTTCTTTAAGGACTTCCACTAGAAATTTAGCAACTACAATAGTAATTTCAGGAGTCAAATCATTCAAAAGGAACTGATATTTACGATCATTGTTCAAATGGCTTTTAGAATGAATCAATTTAGAAAGCAACCTTTTCCTAGGTCACTCATAAAAAGGGCAATCCAAAATTATGTAATCAATTGTGTCTAAGGAATTAAGGCCGCAAGGACATAAACGTTCATGCCGCGGAATCTGGAGATATCTACCAGAAAGCATCCTGGAAGGGAATGCATTTGCCCTAGCCAATAAGAAGGCTATACATTGTGTAGAAACATCAAGAGTGTGGAGATATTGGGCCATCCTGCCCAAAGGGTCAGTTAGTCCAAGGTTGATTTCACACAAAGAGCTTTGCTGCTGTCACGCCTCCCTTTGCCCCATTTCCATTGGTCAATTTCCCACTCGAACCCGCGCGGCCGCATTTTGACCCGCAGCTTTGCCCGATTTCTCCTGCGGTTTCGTGATCCTCAAAAAACAGGATCACGAAACCGCGGGGGAAATCAGGCAAAGCCGTGGGTCAAAATTAGGCCACGCAGCTTTGAGTGGGAAATTGACCAATGGAAATGGGGCAAAGGGAGGCGCGACGGTGGCGCAGCTCCTTGTGCGAAATCAGCCCAAGTCTGACAGGAGAACAAATATAGGGTTGGGCTGGTTAGAGTTTTTGTTGTTCAGTATCAATAAGATGTTGCTTAATTCTTTTAAAGTTATAGGATTCATCAGATAAAACTAGATCCATCAGTCGATAGGGAGGAGTCAAAGGCAGTGTTTCCTCTAAGCTGAGTTAGTGTGAGCTAGCTCCGTTTTTCAGCCTCCAGCTCACACATTTTTGTCTCAGCTCAGGAAGGATGGCTCCAGAGCAAACTGAGTTATGCAGTAGCCAAATCGCTCACTCACAACTTTAATGCCAGTAGCTCACAAAGTAGAATTTTTGCTCACACGGCTCCACAGCTTAGAGGGAGCATTGGTCAAAGGGTGGTGTTTTTTTTAGGGTTTTGCAGTGCAAGGGGTTTTTTTAGCTTTATCAGTTAAGGCTGAGTCATTGACTTTGTGCTCTTTGAATAATCCAACAACAATTAAAACACCACACCTGCAAAGATTAGTAGTGTTACTGCAGGAATTATAGTAAATTTCGGATGATGGAGGGGGTGGGTACAAATGCATCCTAAATTAATCATGTATAATTGATTTGATTCCCAGATTGCATAATCTTTGTTTTATTCTTGCCAGCATGTGCAAAGGCTCCCAGCATACTAGGTCATAGCCTGTTCTGGCCTGTTTCCTCTGCTTCTGTGATGAAATGTCATCACATGCATACAAAACAAAATACAACAGGTAAGGTATGTCAGTTTTTCTAATAACGTAAATGACAGTCACTCTTACTTATGTTTGTGAACTGCAGTTACACTGAACAGTCTTCAGCCAATATGGAATCTGTCTCCTCATGTTACCAACAGAGTTCCCCCTAAGCTGTTCTAGGGTACAGTACCACATAGATTTCCCACCCTCAGTGCAGAGATTTTTTTTTTTGGCAAAAAACTTTTATTTATTTATTTTTTGGATATAATAGCATGCTTAACATTTACTTTCAGTCAACAAATACCCATATTCCCCTCCTTCCCTCCCCTTCTAGTGGCTTCCCGCAGTGCTCTACCCTTGTTCCCTCACTCTTACATTTATTTCACAAATCTATTCTCAGTTACAAGATAACAGTTCTATCAGTATTGTTCTAAATACAATGTTTTGTTTCACATCCCATTTTTTTCTCTAGATAGTCCTTAAAGTCCTTCCATTCTTCAAAAAATTCTTGGTCTTCTTTGTTGTTCAAAGTGCAGGGATTTTTACCTTGGTACAGGGCGACAGATCCAAGGAGTTTGGGGGGAACACTCAGGGTGGTGCTTCTTCTCCTGGGGCTGCCCCACCGTCCCACTCAGTTGGCACCTGAGGGCCCTATAAATGGCGCTCACCCCCAGCAGCTCTCTTCTGCGGGAGAGCCTGCTGGCCGCCTTCCTACACAAGAGAGAAGCAGGTGAGTTGCCCCCTCAGCTCAACAGCCTTGGGCCAAAAACACGGCCCAGCGCTCCCCTATAGCCTCCTGCTACCAGCGCCATTGGTTAGTGGCAAAAATGGAGGTTGGGGCTCCCAACCTCTATCCTCACCACTAGCCAACAGCGCTGGCAGCGGGAGGCTGTGGAGGAGTGCCAGGCTGCATTGCCACCAGCTTAAGAGTCTGGCTCTGCTCCCCTCACCTCTGCTGCCGCAGGAGGTGTAGCGAGCAACAAAACGGCTGCTGCAACTTACTTTCAGTCACACAATGAAGATCCTTGTGTTGTGGTGGCAGCTGGTGTGAAAGCAACATTTAAAAAAAATCTGCACAGGCAAACAAATCTCCATTGGTTAACAAAAAGCCCTGCCTGGCCCCTCCCACTTCCTAAAAACTCTTGCTGAGTACCAAGAAAGGTGTTGATAGATGCCATGGTGCCTGAGGCCATCATGCTGGGGACTCCTGCCATAGACTTTCACAGCAAACCATCTGAATTGATGCTGCTTACCATGTTTTGAATATTGTCTTAATTTCAGACATACAAAACTTTGTTTCCCTGCAGCTAAAGCTGTCTTTTACGGACTGGCTTATACATCTGTATTCCAGGTCATGGGCCCAAATCCCTTTAGTAGTATTAACAACAAAGAAGTCTTGTAACACTGACTAACTAACAGGTTGCTAGCAAAGGGCACTTGAGCTTCTGTGGTCTACAGCCCATTTTTGTCTGTTTTAAAGGATTAGTGCTGTGAGTCAGTGACTGGAATGGGAGCTAAGAAGAATGACCAGGGACATGAGAAACTGCATTGTTTTATTGTAAACACCAGGAAGCCTGCTACACTGGTATGAAACCAAAGAACAATTACCCTTTTGACAAAACAAAGTATCCCACCTGTGCTTCATCCATATCCATTTTCTGCTGCAGTGTGGGGGATAAATGTTGAATAGAAAGCACAAAATGCAGGGAGAATGTTGCCATCATGCAGGGAGAATGTTGCTGTCATGCATTTCATCATTTCTGTTGAAAGGGGAATGATTTTTTTCCCAGCCCTACTTTAGCCAGACTTCCGAGAGAAGACGGGACAAATGATGGACATGGCTTGAAAACCTCCTGGTGGTGCTGGAATCACCATAAAATTACATCGGAGCAGTGTGTCCTTCAAGACAATAGCTACGATTTTTCGACTTCCGAGTCTGAAACGTCAAAGACTGAAGAAATGCCACTGAAAGCTTGAATGGGGCGCAGAAATTCCTGGTGGTGACCAAAATATCGTAGTCTGTAGGTTCCTGGTTCAGTGTTGTTTGGGATGTGCCATTCTACTATAGCTGTGCTTTTCCCCCAGTCATCTTTCTCCCAGAGGAACCTACCGGGGTAAAAAAGTTCCATGGGTTAACCAGCTTACCATATCAAAGGAAACATTTACTTTTGCTCAGTTTGCCACAGCCATACTCATTTGTTAAAACTCAAAGAATGCCTAATGATAAAATACTGTTGACAAACTCTTAGGCCGCGTTCAGACTGGCAGTTTGGCCCGGCAGGCAAACGTTTGAGGAGCGTTTCAGTAGCGGATTAAAGGGGCGGGTTCACACAGGCACATGTTTCAGGCGTCCCCCAGCCGTACTCAAGCTGTCTTGTGCCACTTCCCTCCCGAGTTTAAAAGATACCATGTTAAAGTGGTAGCAAACCGTGTCTACAGCGCGTTGATTCCGGTTCCCTGAGTGTGAACGCAAGTGCTGCTAAGGCAGGAATAACCCGCAGTTGATAATAGGTGCCAGCTGTTTCCGCAGCAGGTACATGTGCGCATATGTGCACATGCACATGACTGGAATGCTCTGGCGTGCCAAGTGGAAGTGTGGAGTCGATCTTGCCCTATTCACTGACATTCAGGTATCCTCAACATTCCATCTCTTCTGGGACATTTTCAGTTCTCATCAGGCCATATTTTGAAGGCCCCCACCCCTTTGGTTAGTTTACAAAGTCTGCATCCCTGGGAAGTCTTCTGAAAATGAAAAGCCTTTTGGGGCCAAGGGTTTTTTTACCAATGTAAAATTCAATCAAATTGCTCACCTGGTATCCCATGAGGCATCGTTATACTGGGTTTCCCAATTTGCTGAAGTGTTGTCATATTTCTCTACTGTAAGGAAAGTGAATTTGCTCTGGAATAAAAGGTGTACAACAAATTAGGCATTAAATAGCAAAATATAAAGTTGTTTTATAATAAGGCCTGATGAAGAGGTGTCGCAGGCAGGATAGATTAGGTCCGATTGACCTTTTTAGTTTGATTGGTTTGATCTGTTTTGACACTATTTGCTTTTGATTACTCCCAGTCCTATATTCTGCCCCACCTTACTTCCTCTCCCACACCTTCATGGCTCCATTTTTCTTGCCCCTCAGACTACCATAAAAATATCTCTCTGCATGCCGTATTTACCACATTTTCCACAGAATTCCTGGGATTTGCACCAACAAAGTGCGCACGAGCAACTTCTCCCTGAGAAAAAAGATGGCATATGTTATGATCATGGACGATACATGACACACAAGAAATCAAGTATTGCTCCTATACAAGTCCTAATGCAATTAGTGTGGTTATTGTTTGGTTGGCTAATTAAGGCTATTCATAATACTTTTACAGATGATTATTTGGAGGAACGGGAACAACTCAGTGCTATAGTGGTGCTTGTTCTGCAACAGTAATGTGCAAGTGGATATGTGTGCTTGCACACTCTACAGGAGGATAACTTAATACTGGAACGGGGTGGGGGAACTGTCTGTATTTCTTAAAAAAAGAGTGAGGAAGCTGAGTGTTCTATTGTTAGAAGTATTCTAGTGCAGCTCCGAACATGCGCAGCTGCATTCAGGGCTTTGGTTTCTTATCTGATGTTCCAACAGGAACATTGCACAAAATGTGTAGCAATGGTTGGCAGAACCCCATTCATTGTGGAAATGCTGTGGCAGGACCCAACTTGGATCCATTTCAGATCCACGGATTCAGGGTCTGACACTGCTCTGCCCAGTCAGACTTTGCTCCATCACCCGCTGATATTTGCAAGAACAACAAGACCCACTGGCGTAAAGTTCGTGGGGGCTGCAGGGCGCCAGCCTCTCCCAAAATTTCCCAGAATGTGCTAAGCCTCCCCAGGGGGCAACCGGTTCCTCCAGCCAGCCTTGCTCCCAGCTCTCCCACCTTTGAAAGCGGAGGGTTTCCCTAATTCCCTTCCGCTTTCAAAGTGAGTTCACCGGATGGGGGACTGGGAGGGAGGGAAGTCAGGGCGGGGGCTTGCTTCCAGCTAAGCTCCACCCCAGCTCCTCCCAGCAGCTCTCACTGTTCTGGAAAGTAGCTGGAGGGAGAGCTGCACGTGGAGACTGGCTGCTTTCCCGCCTGCTGGCACACAGAGAAAGGTTCATAAACTGTGCCTGGTTCTTAAGTGCCACTGGTTGGGGGGGGCTTCTCCTCCATATCCCCAGCAGGAGCGCCTTGAGGGCCATGCTGGCCCTTCGCTGGACTCCTCTGCAGGCCCAGAAAGAAGCCTCCCAGCCCATCCCTCCCCCTCCCGAGCTGGCACCCAGCCACAGGGCTCCAAGAGAGACCTCCCTGCCTACCCCTTGCCCTCCCAAGCCAGCGCCCAGCCACGGGGCGTTGCAACTCAGACATCACACACGAGAGGTCATTTTGGCTCCCCCAGCTCTCCTTAGGGGCTCTTTAAAAAGTCATTCTGGCTCCCCCAGCCCAGCTCTCCTTCGGGGCTTTTTAAAAAGTTATGGCCGCCGCCACTGTTCTTGGCAGCAGCTGCCAGGCTGGGGTGGGGCGAAACGTTCTCCTGCTTCCCTGAGCCCCGGGGTGGTGACCTTGGACTTGTAGGGGCAAATTCCACCTATCGCGCGAGAGGTCATTCTGGCTCCCCCAGCTCTCGTTAGGGGCTCTTTAAAAAGTTATGGCCACTGCTGTTGTTCTCGGCGGCAGCTGTGACGCGGGGGGGGGGACGTTATCCCGCCTCCCTGAGCCCCGGGGTGGTGGCCTTGGACTCGTAGGGGCAAATTCCACCTCTCGCGTGAGAGGTCATTCTGGCTCCCCCAGCTCTCCTTTGGGGCTCCTTAAAAAGTTATGGCCACCGCTTTTGGCGGCAGCTGCAACCACTGTGTGGGGGGGGACTGCTGAGCTGCCCTCCCCGCCTTTTTCAGGCTCCGTGCCAGAGTTCCAGGCCTGAAAAATGGCCTGCAGAGCCACCGCCCCTCCTTTTTCAGGCTTCGCACTAGAGCACCAGGCCTGAAAAAGGGCCAGCCGAATGTCAGTTTCGGCCCCATTATATCCTATGGGCCATTGAACTCAATGCCAAAAACATAGGGTATATTCTGGGGGCTGGAGGAGAGGACGTTTGAGGGAGAGGCTCCAAACTCGCAGGGTAGCTGCTGGAGCCTCTCCCCAAGATACCAACTAAGTTTGAAGAACATTGGACCAGGGGGTCCAATTCTACGGGCCCCCAAACAGGTTACCCCTATCCCCTCCATTGTTCTGTA